TATATATATATATACATGTATATTTTTTCCCTTTTATCTTCCATATATTTGTGCACGTACTACGTTGAAAATGATGATAATAAAAATGAAATGTTTTCTTATAGAGGTTTCCTTTCGATTATTATCGTTCTCACATCTATTATGACAAAAATAGAAAGAGATAAAAGGAATATATATTTTGTAAAAAATAATGAATTAAAAATAGGACATTCTCTATTTTAAATTAAACGATCATCGATCTAAACCATATACACTTCCTACGTGCTTTTATTTTCTATGTAAATGAATCCTGATAGAAACTATGAATAAAATCTTAAGAGAACTCTTAAAAAAAAGTCTAACGCAAACCTGAAAAAATTCGAACAAAACCTAATGTGTAATAAAACCACATTTTATAGATAAACCATATTCTTCTGAACATTGTATACATTGTAATACATTGACCCCTTAACATATATATACTGGATGATTCGCCAACTATTAGCATCTAAATATTTCTGTTATTTATTATAATGTAGAAAAATGTTATAATGATTTTATCATTTAAAAAATTCCAGGAGACATTAAGAAATTCTGCCTCCACCCACGTAAAAAATATTTTAACTATGTTATGTACTTCTTCATGCCATATAAGTTTTATATATAATATTTGTCTATATTACAACAAATAACGGAAATATTTGGGTGCTAATAGTTAATAGACTACCCTATATATACCCTATATATATATATATATATATATATATATATATATATATGCTTTTTTTTTTGCTTTCAATTAATTTAGTTTATAGAATTTCCCAAACTGTACTTATTAAATTTCACTATCATCCAATGATCAATAATCGAAAACCCGTACTATATCAGTAAAAACGATACGTATACGATCGTCAATTTATTTAAAAGCGACACGATAAATGTAATACAGGAACCAGAATACGATCCACGTACAAACATATGCTATATCCACACGTACATATCTTATCGAAAATCTAAATGCGAATAACGATGAAAGAACACAAGGTATACGGTACCCAAAGCAAACCCATTTCATTTCAACGGTGTTTCAATTAAGCCAACTCGTCGAAAGACTTCCCGGACGAGAGACTTTTATCATGAAAAAGTTTTCCGTGAGGTTAGTTACCGGTAGGGGAAGAAGGAGGAAGAGGAGGAGGAGGATAATGAAACGACGTTGAGTCGAGAAGAAGAAACTCTAGATTCGTGTATCTTCTTGCGCGTTTCCATCAAAAAAAAAAAAAAAGGAAAGAAAAGAAGGAAGGGGAAAAAATGTATATTTATTTATAAAATTTTGAGAAAAAGGAAAGGGGAAAAAAAGCAAATGCAAAAAAAAATGAAAATGTTTTTCGTTACCCTAGTACAAAAAGCCACCCTTATTGATTAGTCCTGTTCGTTTAAATCGACTAATCGACTTTTTATTACACTAATTGCCTAGACCCACCTGCTTACGTATTATATATATATATAGATTTTTTGTTCTTTTTATCTCGTCCGACCCGTTTCTTTTGTCGACGTTTTCATAAATCGACGGACGACTACAAGACCAAGCCCTCCGGGAATTCTCATAATTTAATGTCGATCGACGACCCGTTTTGCTATCTACCCGTTACGATCTAATTGAATTTTTATTGCATTAATTGCTTGAGGGAAACCTTAAACCATTACCACCTTTACTCACGTTTCTTTATACAACTTGTTTATATTTATCTGTGCTTCTTTAGAATATTAACGTTTGCGTTTATTCTTGTATTAATTTCACAGAAACATTTTAAATGTAGAAAAATGTTTCTCCATTTGTGAACCTTATTAAAAAAAAAAAGGATAAAAAAAACCCATCGTGTTTGTGCCTGAGTCTTTTTGTTTCAAAGCAAAATAAACAATTCTCTTTACTTACCGATTTCTCATTCCTCTCTCTCTCTCTCTCTCTCTCTCTCTTTTCGCGCTTTTCTATTTAATTATTCTCTGTAAAAATATACATATATTTTTTTTTCTTTCTTATCATTATTATACAGCGCTTATATTTATTTATAAGGTAATATCAATTAATTGAAACTTAAAAGAAACGATCGGATTGACGATTAATGTTTTATTTATATTAGTTCTGTGTAGGATCAATTATTTCGGCCCTGGTATTTACATTAATTTTCACATACGAAGATAAATATCGATCGACACACGTGACGCACGATCGTCTTTATGACGTTAAGAGAGGCCTCCTATTTTTTGTTTCTTTTCTCTTTCTCTTAGCATGATCAATTTTTTTAAATAAATAAAAAGAAAAAGAAACAACAATAATTAATTCATTCGGTCAATGATTTCATATCCATCGTATGAGTACACGTTAGAAAATAATCGATGTTACGTGTAACGTAAAATTTTATAGAAAAAAAAAATACCCTTTGAGTGCTATAGGTGCATATATGTGTCCTCCAACGAAAGCAATGCGTGTTGATTAAGGACGTATTTATGAGATTATCAATTTTTCCGACCTTCCTTTGCTCGAAATTATTTTCCTTTTTTTCTTTTATACAATCAAAATCGTTAAATATTAATAGAAAAATCATTTCGTTCGAAGGTAGATTGCAATCGTTAGCCGAGTTTCGTGTTCAAAGGGTTAAAAAAGAAAATTAGAGAAAGAGACGATGATAAGATATCATGTGCGTTTGTTTTATTTTATTTATTTTTTTTTTCTTTCTTTCTTTCTCGTGCGTCGCGTGAAAAATATGATTATCTCGACGTCGAATACGATCGATGATCGAACGATCGTAATTAGAAGGACAATTGAAGGAAGAACAATTACTACGATGACGATGATGATGATAATAATAATGTTGATGTTGATGTTGATGATGATGACGATGACATTGATAATGGTGATGATAGTGATGATGATGATGATGATAGTGATTACGACGACGAGATAATGAAAAAGATTGAATTTAAACGGCACGAAAAATGACAATGGCGCTCGTTCAGCTCCCACACGTACACATTTTTTTGTTACGTACATACATACATAGTATTATCCCATGTAATAAGTGTCCTCTGTGTGAGTATGTGTGTTTATGCATGTACGTACATGACGACGAAACGTATTCTGTATGTGTTATACTTATAATATATATCCCCTATTTAATTTTTTTCTTCCCCCTTATCTTCTTCCCTTTCGTCCTTTTTTCTTCTTCACATTTTTATTTTTGCATTTTTTTTCTCTTTTTTTTTTCTTTTCTTTTCTTTTTTATTTTTTAATCTTTTATTTTACATACAATGTACGCAAATGTGTGTACAATTATAATAAATGTGTGTAATTCTGTATGTATCGATTTTACACGTAAAATGTTATGTTTTAGTTGTGTATGCGTATGTATATTGTTTCTTGATAACGAATACTTACATAACTATTGAATGCACGTACGAAGAAAACGATTTTGCTGATATCACACACAAGAAAGGATACTAACGAACTGCGCAAGCGTGTCTGTTCAAACACGAGCATATTTCTTGTTAAATGTACATACATATATTTTTATATATGTAATACGATAGCTCGTTTTGAACTGATAACACTTCCCAATTTTTCTTGAAAAAATCATTTTTCTTTTACCACTCACTTATATGTATATTTTTGTTAATGAATTTATTTTATTTATCCCAAATTTTGTTCGAAAAAGAGAAAGACTATTGTTTTGCCCGCACGATCCATTTTCTGTACATTGTGGTTTAGTAGTAGTAGTAGTAATAGAGTAGTAGTAATAGTAGTAGTATAGTAGTAGTTAGTAGTAGTTAGTAGTAGTTGGTAGTATGTAGTATGTGGAAAATGTATTGCATTCCACATTCTTATGTATGGTTAGTACCCTTTTTTATGTTACACGTATTAGAAGTTATGTTAAGAGTAAAACGTATCCTACTGTACGATCCCTAAGTCAATTCCAAAAAACGAAGGATGATATTTCGTCCGACTATGAGCGCGTACGAGAATACAATGAATATATTTGTTTATATATGTGTCTGTGTATATGTTTATGCATGTATATATGTATGTATGTATGGTTTTTTCTTTTTTTTGAAAGAAAAATGTATGGAAAGTAATTTGAAAATTTTTATCGAGAAAAGAAAAAACAAATAGACAAAATAGGAACATGAGAAAGAGAAATATATATATATAGGGTGTCGTTAAAAACAAATGTTACCACATTTTGATTATTTATAAGGTGTTTATTAAATATCGTAGAATTTGATTGAAATGTTTCAAGTTTTCAAAGTGTGGTAACAAGTTCAATGTTTGCTTTTATTCAGTTTGACCGTATAATTCTTACCGAAATGTAATCATTTTTTAAATCTTAAATTTGATAATATTTAATTCATGAAATTAATAAATTAGTAGTAATTTAAGAAATAAAAAAGAAAGAGAATTTATTTTATGGTATTTAGAGATTACGATTTATAAGAATAAAAATAATAGGGGGGGGAATATATGTTGTCATTAATTAATCAATTTTATAGATTTATTATAAGAGGTGCGAGAAAAAATTTTCAAATTAACAAATTTATTAAAGATTATTATTCAAGAAACTTATTCCGTAATAAAACCAGAAAAAGACAAATCTGATTCTACTTACATTATACAATTTACATTTAAGGCATTTATAACTGCAACATTTTATTTGCAACATTCTTTATTAGAAAAAAAATTACGAGTGATGAAAAAATCAGGTTGATTATTTAGAAATAAAACGAAAAGGAGAAAAAAACACACCATTATCGAACAAGAATATAATTTTTTTCAGCATATGGTCATTCAATAAAGTAAAAAACAAAACAAAAAATTAATAAGCAATGTTTCTCTCTCTGTCTCCATTTCTTTTTTGTTTGTTGTCCAAAATTTATTGTTGGAAAGAAAATTAGTATTTAATATTTTTTTTTTCTTTCGATCAAAGATGTGTTGATGATGGGAAGATTTGTGTCGAGCTTGCTGTGTTATGTTTGTTCTCATGTGTGTGTCTATATTTGTGTGTGATTTAGAGAAGAACTGGTTTAATCATATCGACGCAACGCGCTCTAAAAATCCGATGTTAGAGTATGATGATGCGTTTTCGTGTTGGATTTTATTAACGGGGATGGGTCATGCGGATTTGATAGACAAATATGGCCGTCACCGCGAAACGAGTTATTGGTGCCAGTGTTCCTGGCCGGCAAAACTTCGTAGCCGATGATTCACGTCGGGTAGAGGTTCGTGAAATTCGGTATCCTCCAGCTGACGGCTGCAAGTAGGGATACCAGAAAGTTGCTCGCCAAAACTGCTGGACTGAGGTTCCTCCTGTCGCCACCGTGCATTGCTGCTGGCTTTTCCTCTTCTATTTAACGAGATTAGAAAGTTATCGGTTAAATTTTCACGAAGCTTTAATACTTTTATAGTTAATTTTTCTTTATTTTTTATTACTACGAGGGAAAATTTTAAAACACGGTTTCTCAATTTTTTCTTCTTGTTCCATTTTTATACTCATTTTTTGTTAGAAATTTTTAAATTATATCGAGGAGTGTTTGAATGAGGTTTGATAATTTAGAGATTTCAAGTTGTAGATGTGTGATTTTAAGTTGTAGATTAATTAATTCTTATGAAGGCTATTTCTTATTTGTTATTTAATATATATGTATAATATAATATAATTGAATACAATATAATTGTCTTGATATATAATATTGAACCTAAGATTTTAGGATAACCGGTGTATATTATTTTATTCTATTTTATCAAGTATTTTTTTCTTGTTATAATAAATCTAATAATAGTTGATTAGAATATACTCTACAATATTGATTTTTGTACTATAATGGTAGTCAAGAGTACAGTATAATCTAATTGTCTTTAAAAAAAAAAAATATATTTAAATATGTTTATGTTAGAAAACGTTTGAATTGATGTAACATTTTGTAGATAAAAATATCTTTAAGAGGGATGCTTTGGTGAAATGTACTTGTTCAAATTGTTCACGGTCCTTCTAACAATTTCTCATTCAGGAAATATCGTTAAGAATAGTTCGAGGGAACCAAAAAGAAGTCAAATTAACAAAAAGGATAAGAAAGTAGATACTTTCTTTCATCTCATCTTAGAAAGTACATTTTAAACGAATTCGAGCAATGCCAAAGTCGTAAGATACTCAATGAGACTAAAACCAAAAGAATTACTCGAAAGTTTGCTCACGTAAAAGATACTCATTTCTTTTTCTTATCTCTTTTTTCTATCTCTATTATCTTTTCTGTTCGATCTAGCGTGTTCGTTATTCGAAAAGAAAATGTACATTAAAATTAATTGAAATCTCAGTTACAATAGAACAAATTTCTTTCAAATAATCTATTATTATAAAATAAATCGTATATCACTATAATGCTTCCAAACCTTATAAAATGATTATTTTTTCTTCTAAATAATTGTTAAAATATAATAATAACGTTAAAAGAAAATAGTTTCTATAAAATTGTAAAACCGATAAGAAAAAACTAAATCGACGTAAATTACGTATATTAAAATTTTGTATTCAATATATTTCAAGAAATTGTACATTATTTAGTATTTTTATTATTTAATATCTTAATACACACCAAGTACGTTTCTATTAAAATATATATAATAATTATAAATATTATTACTATATATATTCATAATAAAAATAATAAAAAATTAAAATTCCTATTATAATAGAGGATACACTTTCTATCAAATAAATAAATAAAAATAAAATTGTTATGCACGGGAAAGTCTGTATCGAATGATTTATCGATATTAATAATGATTATTTTTGAATAGAAATAAAATAATAAAATATATTTACCTTCGATGACATGAACCATGACGTATGCCGGTTTCGCGTTACTCGCCTTGCACGTGTAGTTACCACCGTGCGTCGGCTTCGTTTTGTTTACCATCAAAATGGAGCCACTCTTCGTAAGATCAACTTTAACACCAGGCTCGGCGTCGTAGTTTATCATGCGCCCTTGACGATACCAGAACACGTACTGGGGCAACTCCGTAGCTGCTATAAGTTGGCACTCCAAGCGCAAACTGGAGCCCTGTTTCACGTGTAAATCTGGTGCACCCGGTATTATCGAATACGCCTCTGTGATTTTCAGGCGTATGAAACTACGTTGTATGGGATGTGACGTTACCTGAAAACGCCAAAACATAATTTCATTTTCATCCTGTCAAGTAAAATTTCTTTAACAATTTTCAACCTTTAACCTTTTCCCATATAAAAACGATGTTACAACAACGTCTTAATCTTAGCTTATTTTTTCTTTTTTACTTTACGTTCAAATAACTATATATCATTTTAGGATAATATATACGATAGATCATTTTCTTTTTATTTTTACTTTTTTTTCCAATTAGTTAAGCAATACAAAAACGCATAGACATGGTATTAACCGTTCTATTCAAATAGTTCGCTATTGGATCAACAAGATGAAGCAAACGTTAATGTCCATTGTCTTCGTACATCCATTATTAAACCTTTAGAAACTGATTTGACATTTACCTGACATTACCGGCCAATAGAATATCAAAATGTTAAATTATATTACTTTCTATAGAAATGAAAATTAAATTTTCAATTTTTAATACAAAATTACAAGACATCTCGCATTAATCGAAAGGATTATTTAAAAAAAAAAAAACTACCGACACTTCATGTATTCCTATTCCTTAAAAAAAAAAAACACACACACACACATATTTATTATTAACTATTATTTAAAAGTGAATAATGTAAATTGTATACGTTTACACTTTGTGTTTGTTTAATTACAGGATTTTTATAAATTGATTTCAAGTGTGATAGGTTTAGTGTTAAAATGTTATAATATAATTTCATAGTAAATAAATCATATTAAAGTTAAATTTCAATGTAAAGGAAATAAAATTAAAAAAACTATGTACCTGACATTCGTAAATCCCTTCGTCTCCAGGAGTGACCATTTGTATTTGAAGTGCCCAATCAGTATTCGTATGACGTACGGCAAAACGAGTATCGACCGAATGCCTGTTAGTGCCAACAGTCAATAATTGTCTGTCCTTTCGCCTCAACCACGTGATCTAAAAAATAAACGTGCAAGTTATAACATTGTCAAAAAAAGAGACATACATGCACGCACACATACACACGCTTCTCCTTTTGTTTAGAGATGATATTTTCTCAAATATATATAGAAGAAAAAAGATGTAAGAATAAAGATAGTTTACGAGGTATAACAGGAAATATATTGGATCTTTGTAGGTTTTCTTATTCCTACCATAGTTCAATATGTTAACATTGATCTATACCCATCTTTTCTTTATCTAGGTTTCATCTATTTCAACAAATCATCGATATTTGTGTGTACACAATTTTATCCATCTTTTCGTTTCTTTTTGTTTCTTCTTTTCAAATATCGAAAATGATTTAACGTTTTGAAAAAAAAAACAAATGTGAAGTAGATGCGTATAAATTTTATAAATGATTGAATCAAAACGCTTTTATACTTCTTCCTTTGTCTTTCTCATTCTTTTGACAATTAATTTCAAACAGAAGGTACTTGAATCAAACGAAGTTTCCATTTTTTTTCTCAATCCATTGTAATTAATTTTATATTCGTTGGTGCTATTATTTATCAACTAAAACAAAAAAACACAAAACGAATTTATTTCGCATTGATTTACAACCTGTGGAAAATTTTTATACGATTTTTTGTTTGTTTCCAACAATCCTTGAATAAAGTAGGGAATTAGGACATTAATTAACTAATTTTAAGGTAGGTTACGTTAAAATTAGGACACGAGCTTTGCGCTTCACGCTTAAATAACTTTGGAGACATCTAACGAGGAGCTATATATTATATTCTCGTAACAAATATCTCGTTATCGTCTGGTATACAAAGTGATTCGCTAACTCTGTTAGAAATTAGAAGGAAAAAAAATGGGGATACCAGTTTAACCGTATCAAAGAAGATTAAAAGATAAATAATGATAAACAACAAATCGAAGTAATTTTATAATATTTTAATCGTTTGTTCCTTTTAATGGAAATATTTTACACGAAATTTCATAAAATCAACATCACGATTTTGATAATATGTGTTATTAAAAGAAATGTATTAATTTATAACACAAAATATAATCTAATAACTATTTTGATCAGTGACCAGAACGTAATTAGGACATTTCTAAGCAATAAATTTCCTAGGAAAGCAATTCCCGAACGATATGATGTTTCAGAGAGTAGTAGGACCATTGCTACTATGTAATCCGAGGATGTTTCCTGTAATCCCAAATTCGGTAGTATCTCCGTTCCACGCTAAGAGCACCTTATCCTACCTAAGGATTGTCGTAACGGGAAGTTCAATATGGTGGAAGCCTATACGAGTATGACCTAGAACGTGTGTGTAGGTTTTCACTGTATAAGTGTATTTGCCACCAGCGAGTTCTACAACTGAGCGAAGTTATCAGCTACTCGAGTTTACCTCAATCAGCACGAAGTTACGTGAGCCTCATCGTGTCTTCTAGAAGAGAACGTAGTGAATATCAGTGAGAAAGAGATAGATATAGTCCCTTAAGGGATAAGAAGAAAGAGAGAGAGAGAGAAAATAAGGGAGTAAAATGAATAAGAATGAACATTTGCTCTTCGGTTTCACATAAATTTCAATGGTAATCGTATACAAACATAAAATTATTAATTAGTCGGGTGAATTTTATTATCCAAAGACGGTTTTTTTTTTAATTTTATCATTTTTTTAAAAATCGGAAAAAAATTTATTATTATTCTTTAAGATTTCTAAAATATTATTATCTAATAATTTATTTCTTTATTTATAATCTATATTAAATTTAAGAATAATTGTTATTCGAACGTAGCAAGATTTACGGTAGACTAATCAAAAATTTGTTAGAATTATAATATACTTATAATTAAATATGTACATTTTTGGATAAATTAAAAATATAGAAAAAAATATAATTAGGGCTAATTAGAAATTGATTAACCCTTAAATTTTGTCCAATAAGCTATCAAAAAGTTTATTAACACTTGCCACTTAATTTCATATAAATTCAAACAATTATCGTATACAAATATAAAATAATAATTAAAAAAAAATTGATTAAAATTACAATATATCTATAAATACTCGTATAAAATAAATTATAGATATATTACATTATCGAAAAAAAGAAAAATGATTAGTAGGTAAAAATTTATCGATACGCATTTATCAATCACCTTAAGTTTAATCCAATAAGTTATCAGAAAATTATCGATCAATTGACAGTTTAATGTTTCTTCTAAAGCTCGTTAAATTGACATAGTTGCAATACGATAAATTGCAAAGCTCAGCATGAGAGTATGCATGCATAAATTTATATACACACATATATATTCTTAGATAGGAAGAGTACCCATGATTCATGGGTGAACGTTGATCAAGTGGAAGTGTACAAGTACTTACGTTACCCTGTATATATATATACCAAAGACGAGTAGCTTAATTAAAGATCACCTTAGTATAGTTAACTATATCCTTCCAACTACATTTCCTTGGATCTTCAGTCTATTTCTCTCTCATCCCTCTCTATTACTCCCCTTTTCTCTTTCTTAAATGGAAATTATAATAAGAAAATGAACAGTACCGAAAACTTGGCCTAGCAAAATTTTCAACGTGTTTCGCATAATTAAACATGTCAGAATTATTATATAAAATAAGAGTAAAAATGATTCTTATTTTCATTTCATCATCTGATTTTATTTTTTCGAATTGTAGAATGTTAAACGATATTGAATATGATTTGTTTATTTGTAAGATAAACTATGTCATTTGAAAAGTGGATAAGGAAGAAAGAGAAACCCATAGTTGACTTTTTCTATATATTTTCAATTTTTAGAAGGGAGATTAGTACAAAGATCGTTTAAAGTGTGTTGAAATTTACTTTTGGAGAAATATATAAGCCATAGATTTCTTAAAAATTTATAATTTATATAAAAACGAGATATATTATATATTAAAATATAAGAAATTTATATTATCCTTAGTATAATCATAATATAATTTTATTATAACAAATACGGATATATATTTCAACATGAGAAATAAAAAATATAAAATATCTATTATCAAATTGTAATTTTTTTCCTTTAATAGCGATAATCATCTTTAAAATGATCTTGAACGTTTTGTATAAAAATATAAGATTTAAAGTGTTTGAGAGATTTATACGAAACGATGAAGCGAAACGATGCAATATAAATCTTACAACCTTACTAAACACAACAGCCAACCGTTATCACGTAACGAGGATCTTTAAAAGATCGTTGGCTCGATCATTCGCGAAAGAGTATACGGAAGTTCACATTTGGTTATCAGAAATATGCTTTGAAAAGTGTTACCATATAACGAGGAAAGTTCTATTCAAAGAACTACTAGCGTTCTCTTTCTCTCCCTCTCTTTCTTCTTTATTATCTTCTCAACGAATCGAAGTTGAAGTTTAAGCGGCTCGCTTTTACGCGTACCTGCCCATACCTTTATATACACACACAAAGACACACATACACACGCACGTATATATATATATATATATTCTATGTACATTAAATGTGTGTGCACATAACATCCGTTATAAGTTAGCTCAAAGAGAACGAACGATCTTCATCAAAGGATCGAAGGAAACTCGAAGCATTACGTTACTTGCTGTAATACTATACTTCTCTCTCACTCTCTCATTCTCTCTCTCTTTCTTTCTCTCTCATTAGTATGAATTGTAACTTATCTCTTCGTACTTATAATGCTATCTTTGCAACTGATAAAACCGTGAAGAACTTTATACATCTATAATACTTGCTTAATAACAATCAAACTCTTCTAATGATTTGTATGCATGTATTTTCATGTCTTTTTTTAATGAAAGTTTTATTATGAATAATAACGAGCGCTAAAGTAAAAAGAATATTTTTAATATCAATTGTAATTTATTACCGATTCTATCATGTATTAATTTTTTATTTATTTATTTCACGTGTAATAAAAATATTATACCATTTGTGTAAATAGGAATAATGAATTCATCGAATAACGATGTGGACTAGTTAGAAATTCTTTTTAAAAGTTTATAAAAAAAGTCTTTTGATTTGTAGATAGTAGATTTAGTATTGAAAAAAAAAAAAATTAAAAAATGAAATTATTTTGTTTATTTATTTATTTATACGAGTAAACACTCATGGTTTTTTCATCGTCCAATCATTTTCTTCGATTTATATTGCGTTTTCTCAACGATTCTATAAAAAAGTTTCGCTTAGAATTATTTAAAATAATTCCTTTTCCCTACCGATTGAATTTTTATTATCAAACATATTTGCAAATTTCGTGAAAGAGTTGTTCGCGTTATTAAAAAAAAAAAAAAAAAAAAAAACAGAACAAAATAGAGAGTAGAAAAAAAAATAAAGGAAAAAATATGTGACGAAAAAGGGAATAGGGAAAATATTGAACGATATAGTAGTAGTATGACGTGGAATCGTTAGAGATGCGTAGTATCATAGTGAAAATGCAAAATATTGCCAACTTATTGATTTTCAATGTAGAAAGGAGACTAGGAAAGTTGTTCTTTGATATGCGTCAAATATAAATACGGATAAGCGAATGGTACGTACGATCAAAGAAATAAAAAAGAAAAAGGAAAAGAAAAGGAAAAAAATAGAAAAGAAAACAATGAATAAAAAGAGAAAAGATAAAAGGTAAAAATAAAAAAAAGAAAACAAAAAAAAATTAGAAATAAGAAAACCCGATTGCACGAGAGGGTGAGAAAATAGATAATGGGAAGTGAGAGGAGGAGGAGGAGGGAATGGGTGAAGAAAGTTGGAGGAAAAAAGTGGAGGCTCGAGAATCGTGAAACGAATGGGATTGCTTTTTCCGTATTCTCAAATCGTACTTGGAATGAGAGTAAAATGTGAAAAAGGAAAGCTTGGATCGGTTCGATACGCGCTTGAAATCAACCTCTTTGCATGTGTAGTATATACCTCTGATCTTGCAGTGTACCTCGGTATAAAGCTAAAGAAAAGAGAAACGTCTTCCTCG